CTTTTCCAGTGATTTAAGACATGGATGTCACATGGTATGGTGGGGTATGGTAGTCCCCTGTAGCTCAGTTGGTAGAACATGGCGCTTGCAACGCCAGGGTTGTGGGTTCGTTTCCCACGGGGGGCCAGTATGAAAATATATGCACTCACTAACTGTAAGTCGCTCTGGATAAGAGCGTCTGCTAAATGACTCAAATGTAAATGTATGCAAAATGGGTCAACTTTAAGCAGTTTTATCTCCTTTATTTCTGACCACTTCTTCTGTTGGCAAACATTTATGGAAAGTTTTGTTTAAATCAAAAGGGATGCAGTCAAAAAGTGATTGAATTCAAATGGATTTACCCATACTGATGCTGCATTTCATCAAATGCTCGCAGTCAAACAACCAATAGACTGCGTTCTCACCTGCAGCGAACCGCACCATGGTACAAATTTTATCGGACTGAGACCACCCTTTCTGAGTGAACCACGGTGCGTTGTTTAGTGCTCTCCCGAGTGTGGATAGTGTTCACACCAGTCCAAACTAACCGAACTAAGGGGGTAAACGCACCGGAGTTCGGAAACACCGCTCCAAACCAATTCGGTGTGAAAGCCCCCTAAAACCAGAAAGCTCAGACTCATCTTATTAAACACTTACCACAGCTTGATTATGTGTCATCACCTGGATCCTGGCTAGGTTGGGTTAGCAAGAGTTACTCATCTTCTCTACAGGAATCTGGTAGTTTCATATTAATGTTCTATCAGTGGTCTTAGGTTTCTCCTGCATTCATACCCCATCACAATACCTTGTTGAGTATTTTACTCGTTTACTCTTGAAAGAGCCTGTGGCTAAGCATGCTATTGTGTTAGAAGGCAGGTGGGGACTCAGTGCCATAAGGGAGAAGGTAGGAGCATCTCTGGCCTCAAACCTGTCATTTGTTCTCTGAGATGAAGAGGAGGATCTAAAGTGAGCATCACTCATGGTGTTCTGTTCTGGCATTCCCTCAGGTCTTTGTTGTGTCAATGGGAGAGTCTGCCCTGGGCCCTGGTGGGGGAAACACTGACTGGGACAGGTTCTCTGAACCAGTGATTCACGGTGATCCAGTAAACACTGTGTCTGGGATAGATTCTCAGGGACAGTGACGTTTCCCCTGCAGTGATGCTGCTGAGTGGTGATTAGTTAGTTACAGGAGGAATATCACCCCATCCGATTGGGGAAGACCCTCCCCTCCCCAACCCTCTCCTTTCTGTCTGACTATCTGTCTGAGCTGAGCCTCTCTTGGGATCTGCTGGATCTTGTCCTTGTGGTGGATGATGGCAATCATACCCCTACCGTTCTGCTGCGTCACACAGCCCAACACAACGGTAGTCTACTGCCGGACCAGGAAGAGCAAATACTTCAGGTAGTACAAACTGAGTGAACCAATGAGCTGCACACCGGTTACAAAATAGAGGTTCTCTTGAAGTTTTTGTGGTAAACAGAACAAGAGCAGGCACATCTACGGAGGCATGCCAAATGCCATGACTTTCAAGTGACTTCAGGTTAATTTTCCACTCATCCCTTTTCATTGTTCCAGACAAACAATACTGTGTAACTTAGCATTTTGCAAGATGTAATGGAAACAATAATAGTGTGGTGTTGCATTTAGATTTTGCTCAGTATGGAATATTTTTCATAGTGAGGCTCACCCAACCATCAAAGTGCATCCTTAAGAGGAAGATTTTTATTTTTAAAGGGAAGGCAGAATGTGAGGCATGGCGGATGGCCTTCCTGTAGTCCACTGCAGAGAGTTATATTGACCACCACTTACTGTGTTGTGAGTGAGCCTGGAGGGACGCACTTACTCCACATTAACCAATTAAAGGGCCATGGTGGGCAGGCTGTGGGCTAGAGCACCATTATTAGGGTGGCTGATTTTACATTGTCCAGTCTGTAATTGCTGCATGCCTAGTGGAGCACGGGCTAGATGAATGGTACATGACGTTTCCCAACACACCGCTGTCTCATTATTTGCTCACTGACATTTTTGGGAATAGGATGTAGATGAGTAGGGTGGGAGGGCTGAGTGGAGGGGGGGTCCTGCTCGTAAGGCTTATTAGCACAGCTAAGGTGCTGACCAGACCTAAAGGGCTCTGGTGCTGTCCTCTTCCATTATGGTTTGCACAACCACCACTACTACTAAAGCCCCGCAAAGCTGTCTGGATCAAACTTCAGCTGTTCATCTTAATCCCCCTGATTTATGAAACATTGGGATTCAATTATGGTGATCGTGAGTGTGTTCCCTAATTAAATAGTTGGGTGATCTGTGTTTAAGGAAGGTTTCATGATTTAGAATTGTCTCTCGTTTTTTGGGTTGTGTTTTTTGTTCTACATGTGTATCATGGCCCATGCTTTCCCCAGTAGTGCTGTTGAACAATGTGACTCAACTCTGGAATAATATTATTAGCCCCTGCTGTGTTGAAATCAGATTGCATCGAAGACTTGTCAAGTTGATACTAATGCTCACTTTGCCTGGAGGTAATCAATTAAGGATGACAATCCACTTTTCCTAATCGAACAAACACCTAGAGATCGACTCCCCACACTTGTGATTTGATGTGAATGGGGTCATTATGTGTCCTGTCCTCGTTAACAACAACAGATGGCTACTGCCAACTCTGCCATTCCTCGGCCACTCAGCCTCTCCACTAGACTGCTGCATGGGGATCTCTGTCTGTACAACTGCCCTCTACAGAGTTGAGTTGAAGTGGCAGTGTCCTCTGCAGTCCATGTCTGTTCAGCTAAAAGCATGTCTGTCTGTTCTGACACACTGTTCCTCCAGCTAAAGGTCTGTCTGTCTGTTCTGACCCACTGTTCCTCCAGCTAAAGGTCTGTCTCTCACTGTTCCTCCAGCTAAAGGTCTGTCTCTCACTGTTCCTCCAGCTAAAGGCCTGTCTGTCTGTTCTGACCCACTGTTCCTCTAACCAAAGGTCTGTCTGTCTGTTCTGACCCACTGTTCCTCTAACCAAAGGTCTGTCTGTCTGTGTTCATCCCTCATTAATTCTCTGGCCAGCTGGCCCGGCATCTACAGGATTTGTCTTGTGTTGTGTGCCTCTCATCCGTGACATTGTCTCAGCTTATTGTTAACATTTCCTCCGGCTCTCTATCTGAAAGCTGTGATCATTCAGGAGGTATTTATGGCCATGATGTTGCTTTGTTTTGCACCGTGGCTAAAAATATTCCCAGGCCAGCGGACGGGAGTGCTGCATAATATTGCATGTGGTTTAGATGGTTTCAGTGGTGTCTCGTTGTAATACTCATAACTAGCTAATTGTATTACACTGACTGAGGCCTGGTCATGTGCTTGGTTAGGCTAGGTATTGTGACAGGGCACAGTGAAAGGATTCACAATGTGGTCCTGCACAGGGATTGGGAGGGTGCAGAGGTGGCTGGTTCAGCTGCCACTTGCCTGGACAGACCCTACCAACAGCTGCGGTAGAGGCTGGGGCGGGGTAGGGTGACCAGTGGGGTCAGTCTCTCTCAATATGCCCATTAAGCTGAAGCAGAACTGGAGGGGCACCACAGTCTCAGCTTTCTGGGGCTGGAACTGTGCCTGCCGCTCATACCCAAACACTGGCCATGGCCAACTCCCTGAGTCCCTGCCCCCAGTCCTCAGCACCTGCACAAAGGCACGCACACATGCGCACGTGTGAACACGCACCCACACAGGCACACTGACAGGCACACGACGTACCTCATGCATGACATACCAACTGGTGTGGGTCAATCTGAAGTTGTAAACAGCCTCACTGAGGAATAGTCAATAGTTGTAAAATGAGACATATGGCCGGAGTTATCGACCAGATAACAGATTTTTTTTTTTAGGATGGTCAGGGGGCCGGAACATAATTACAAATAATTTGTAGAATATTTGACTAAAATATAACCATTTCAAACCTTGCTTACATTGGTATGCGATGACATATCTCTCTATTATGTGTGGAATGCTTGGAACAGAGTTGGTAGTTTTTTATAGTCTTATGTCCAACAAAATATATATAATTCTTATTTTCTCTGTTCAGAACTTGGGGGGCCAAATAAAATCACATTTGGCCCGCGGGCTGCCAGTTGGGGAACTCTGACATGGGGTATGCGCTTTGCCAAACAGTGGTTGTTGGTTAGTTATTAATATTTCAGGGATCAGCTATCTCTCTTTCAACATTGTTCTGTGAATAAGAGTTTGGATCAATCAATCCTTATCCTTCATTGATTTAGAAAATTGACTGATTGAATTAATACATTGACGTTAGTCGTTTTCTGACTGACTTCATGAGTTGAATTTCTCCAGCTCTCAGTAGGAAAGAGGCTTGAGGCTGACTGAATAAAAATATTGCGCCGATGCTGTGCACTCTAGTCTTTGTAATAGTGTGATATGCTGGAGCAGTGTTCTTCTGACATTAGGAAATTCAGGCCCTGTAGCAGTTGTAGTGCCTCTTGTCCCTCCCACCCCCCTTATCAGTCTGTTTAGCCTCTCCCTGGAGGCTATGAGTGTGTCTCAGCAAGTGGCACTGGGGCCCTCTCCCATAGGACCACAAGAACATCCATCTGCTGTGGACCTCAAGACTGCCCCTACCCCACGCTCTGCTCTGTTCCTCAAGAGACCTCCACCACAACTCACCTCCCCCAGTGAGCTCAGATTTCCTATGTCTCACACACACAGCGAGCCCCTCTCCCTCCCACAGTGGGCTTTCGCCACGGAGAACCATGATCATTGATTTACTTTCCTGTACCGGCCTTGGAAATTTTGACTTCTGAAAGCCACATCAAAAGCTGAGAGTGGAAGCCTCTGGGTTGAAAAGCAAACCCAGCCAGCGGGAACCTATTAGTAGTGCTTCAGACGCCTTAATTCACTCAGGGTGAATAAATAAAATGTGTGGGGGGTCTCAGTGACCCACTCCCTCTGTGGAGAAGTTTGGAGAGAGAGGGAACTCGTCAGATGTCTGTACTGGGATTGTCCTGGCTGACTGGGAACAAAGTGGAAGATGTACTGGGAGCTGTGGCTGAGCCAGTTGACGGCGACAGACCTGCAGCATATGCTGGTGGGGAACAAAGGTAGGAGAGCATCAGGTCTTGACAGGGCATGGTCACACCTGACCTGTAGGCCAGTTTAAAGTCCTCAGGAGATGTCCTGACAGATTTACTATACTGCTGCCATGTGGTGTACTGTGTACTTTGCTTGCTGAATGGAGAACTACGAACTTTAGTAGTTCTGTTTGTTTAGAATGGAGCTCTATGTACTTTAATAGTTCTGTGCGTTTTAGAATGGAGCACTGTGTACTTTAATAGTTCAGTGTGTTTTAGAATGGAGCACTGCGTACTTTAATAGTTCAGTGTGTTTTAGAATGGAGCACTGTGTACTTTAATAGTTCAGTGTGTTTTAGAATGGAGCACTGCGTACTTTAATAGTTCAGTGTGTTTTAGAATGGAGCACTGCGTACTTTAATAGTTCAGTGTGTTTTAGAATGGAGCACTGCGTACTTTAATAGTTCAGTGTGTTTTAGAATGGAGCACTGCATACTTTAATAGTTCAGTGTGTTTTAGAATGGAGCACTGCATACTTTAATAGTTCAGTGTGTTTTAGAATGGAGCACTGAGTACTTTAATAGTTCAGTGTGTTTTAGAATGGAGCACTGTGTACTTTAGTAGTTCAATGTGTTTCCTGTTTTACTCCCTATTTCACACATTCCTCTCATTAGGCTGGATTTGGAGATCTGGGCCATTTATCAACTATTTGGTTCGGATGCAGGACTTCATAGTTGAGGTTAAGCTTGAATTCAACTCAATCTTACACAGTGTATATCTTCAAGGGAAAGTTCACCAAAATGACATTGGTTTCCTTATCCTGTAAGCAGTCTATGGACAAAGTATGACAGCAATCAATTTTTTGGTTTAGTTTAACATTTTAGCATTTGTGACACAAATCCTGTTCAAGTCATGGGATCAATAATATATTTTTTTGCACATCATGTTCAAATCATCTATCAGTAACTTTGTTGAGCTTCACAATACATTTTAGATACTTTTGGACAAGATGCGTGAATAATGCTAATATTTGTCCTATGACTTGAATGGGATTTGTGCCACAAATGCTAAAATGTTAACATGTGGAAACCGTGCCAGAGAAACCAGACCAAAGCATGGATTGCTGTTGTACCTTGTCAATAGACTGCTTACAAGGTCAGGAAACCAATGTGTAATTTGGCTGAACTATCCCTTTAACTTCTCAGACACTATTGTTTTTGGGCAATTCCACTGTGTGACACTGAGACTCAGATTTTTCACTTTAAAATGTATGTCAAACAAAAAACAATGATTGCCATGAACAGTGCAGATGCAACATTTGGTAACAGAATGACGGTTTGTGCCATTTGTGTGTCATTCTGTTACCAAACTTTGCATCTGCATTGTTCTTCAAGTAAATGTTTATGTAACATTTTCAGTGGAAATTGTTAAAAGTAGTCCTTGTGCATAGAGTTGTATTGTTTGTTTAACTTTGCAAATATTGGTTTTTGTTGACGTACATTTTAAAGTAAATAATCTGAGTCTTGTCACTGTTATCGTGGAATTGCCCTTTTTATGTCTGTCTGTGTAGAACATCATAGTTACTAGGGTTGAGTCCATCCATGTCATTTCAGCAAGCCATGACACCCACCATATCAGATTGTTCTGAAATTGTTTCTGTAGTTAGAAAAAGGTACGTTTGTCATTCCTGAAACATTATTTTGTTAATTTTATTTTATCTCTGAGTAATTCAGGTTATTGATTTTACCCAAATTGGCCATTTATAGAATTTAGATATTATTCAATAAATATAGTACCGACATCCAATTTAGAACAAACTGCATCCTACCAGTGAGTAAGACATTTGGATTCCCAAAAAAATTGCCAAAAGCCACCCACGGAAGAAATAGGTAGGAAGATGTTTGGTCCAAATCAAATGTTGGGTACTATATTTATAGAATGTTATCCGAATCCTATAAATTAAAATGGCCAATTTGGGTGCCATCAATTAGCTTAATTTCTCAGAGATGAAATTATATTTTAACACGTTTCAGGAATGTTAATCGTATCTGTTACTTACTACAGAAACAATTTCAGAACAATCTGGGTGTCAAAATCCTCTTCCTTGTGCTTTTTGAGTTGGAACGACCCAGGAAGTGATGATGCCTTTCAGAAATGATGTTTACCGTAACCATTAGCTACTGACCACCACAGACTGACGCTGATGGTGCCAGTCACTTACTTTACTGTAGATGTATAACTTAAACTTTGGTGTAGCCAATCATTCCTTTGTTGTATAGGGGCAATTCCACAGTAACAGAGTGAAAGTAGTCTTTGTGCATACAGTTGTATGGTTTTTAAACTTTGCAATCATTGGCTTTTGTTCAACGTACATTTTATGCCAACTCTCGACTTTCTTTTCAGTGGCTATTTCCTCCCCTCTACCTCTCCTTCACTGTCTTTTTTTCACTTGTCTCCCTGGCAGTCGGTAAGTCCCACTCAGCAGCTGCCCAGACATGCTGTAGAGGTTGTTGGCAGCTGTTAAGCAGCCCTGTGAGTGATTGAGGCTCAGGCATGTTGTAGAGGTTGTTGGCAGCTGTTAAGCAGCCCTGTGAGTGATTGAGGCTCAGGCATGTTGTAGAGGTTGTTGGCAGCTGTTAAGCAGCCCTGTGAGTGATTGAGGCTCAGGCATGTTGTAGAGGTTGTTGGCAGCTGTTAAGCAGCCCTGTGAGTGATTGAGGCTCAGGCATGTTGTTGGCAGCTGTTAAGCAGCCCTGTGAGTGATTGAGGCTCAGGCATGTTGTAGAGGTTGTTGGCAGCTGTTAAGCAGCCCTGTGAGTGATTGAGGCTCAGGCATGTTGTAGAGGTTGTTGGCAGCTGTTAAGCAGCCCTGTGAGTGATTGAGGCTCAGGCATGTTGTAGAGGTTGTTGGCAGCTGTTAAGCAGTCCTGTGAGTGATTGAGGCTCAGGCATGTTGTAGAGGTTGTTGGCAGCTGTTAAGCAGCCCTGTGAGTGAGAGGCTCAGGCATGCTGTAGAGGTTGTTGGCAGCTGTTAAGCAGCCCTGTGAGTGATTGAGGCTCAGGCATGTTGTAGAGGTTGTTGGCAGCTGTTAAGCAGCCCTGTGAGTGATTGAGGCTCAGGCATGTTGTAGAGGTTGTTGGCAGCTGTTAAGCAGCCCTGTGAGTGATTGAGGCTCAGGCATGTTGTAGAGGTTGTTGGCAGCTGTTAAGCAGCCCTGTGAGTGATTGAGGCTCAGGCATGTTGTAGAGGTTGTTGGCAGCTGTTAAGCAGTTGTAGAGGTTGTTGGCAGCTGTTAAGCAGCCCTGTGAGTGATTGAGGCTCAGGCATGTTGTAGAGGTTGTTGGCAGCTGTTAAGCAGCCCTGTGAGTGATTGAGGCTCAGGCATGTTGTAGAGGTTGTTGGCAGCTGTTAAGCAGCCCTGTGAGTGATTGAGGCTCAGGCATGTTGTAGAGGTTGTTGGCAGCTGTTAAGCAGCCCTGTGAGTGATTGAGGCTCAGGCATGTTGTGTGGGTGTGGTGACCCGCAGTATCTTTCCAACCACGCCGACAGAGCCCCTCCCCGCAGCTATTACACTCTTTATATACAGGCAGGGGAAAAAGAAAGCCAAGTAGTCCTCATCTCAGATGAGTGTGTGTGGAAAGTGAAGTGAGTCAATTTTGAGAGTGGACAAGCAGTATGTATTTGAGAACCATTCAACCCAGCAGCAGTTTTGAGGAAGAGTGGGTTAGGCTGACAGGCCGGCCCTACACAGGGGTAATGGATGTGGACGGGCCTAGACTCTCGGGTAGCTACAACTTGGCTCTTTCTTTCTGTCTATCTGAGTACACTCCAGCTGCCTATTCATTGGACAGCTATTGGTATTAGGCTAGCACTGGTAAATGGTAGTCTATTTCACAGTTGATTATATTAGATTGTTAAAGGAACAGAAAAAAAAACAGATTTGTGGGTGAAATAGAGAATTTTGGCAAAACATATGTGGGCCATTGGAAAGGGATGCATGTTTGTGGTCCCTAAAAGCAGACAACATTTGTTTTGTAAAATGATGTACGTGTTTTGTTAGGCATACCTGTGGCACTGTTTACTCATGTGGCTTATGTATGTTGGAGGTGAGATTTCCACAGATTTTATTTAGGCAGCATGACTTTCACTGAACCATTCACCAACCACTTTCTTTCTCTATCTCTCCTTGTTCTCTCTCTCCCTCCCCCTCCCTCCCTCCCTCCAGAGGCCCTCCACCGGCCCTTCGGCCTGGACTCGGCAGCGTTGACGGAAGCGGTGCGCTGGAGCTCCAAGGAGAACCTGCTGGGTGCTGCCGAGAGCGATCCTAACCTCTTTGTTGCACTTTATGACTTTGTTGCCAGTGGCGACAACACGCTGAGCATTACGAAAGGTATGTATTCTGAAAGAGCTTTTTATCAATATGCTTTCCCAATAGATAACCTGGTTTCATTTCCGCACCCTGCATAATCACAAAACACTCCTTATCTAAAGATGACTCGCTTCCAGAGGTATGGGGTCCCTACCTTCTGCAGGGGAGGGCAGTTCTTCGAGAGATTTCCTCAAAATACAGTACCATGGTACCATCCAGTGAACTATGTGTGTTTGTTTATTCCGATCCCTTTTCATTTCATCTGTGTCCCTGTTTTCCCCAGCAGCAGTTTGCTGATCAAAGAGCTGTCTCCTGGGTAATGAGCTTAAAATCATAATATTTGGGAGAGTTACTTTTTTAATTAACTGATATAAAAGCATTAGCTAAAGATGGAGAAATATCTTAATAAGCCGATGCCTGCCTTCACCAGTCGCCCCATGGCTGCTGCCTGAGATGGAGCTAATGTTTAGACTGTGAGTCATTGCATGCCCAATGGAGAGGTAGGCAGGCCTGCCCTCCCACACCCTTGTTTGGCTCTAATGCACTTTTAATGTGGAATCCTTTCAACTGTAATAATAACAGGTGGATAAACCCAGCAGGGGGTGATCACAGAGAGGGACTTATCGGCCCTGCCGCCCTTAATCGCTGTCTCAGATCAATGCCATGCCTCAGACCAGTAATATCCGTTGCGGGCCGCCTGACATTGTGTTTCCACCCGGAGCCAACTCTCTGGCTCCCTACGGTGTGTCGCAGAGGAAACTGTCTAGTGTGACTGGTTAGGCCGGCCCAATGTTGTTTTTCTGCCTCCCCGGCTGTCCAGTGTCAATAGAGCCTGTAGCTATAACCTCTGTGGCACCAGAGGGTATTGAGTCTGCAGCATGTTCAGCTCAGCCCATGATGTACAGGGAGAGTGGCAGAAAGCTTGGCGGCGCTCCCTGTCCCCTCTCCAGGCCGTGTCTTGTCGCTGCCATAACAGCTCACTGGCATTATCCTCTCAATGGGAGCAGCTTCGAAGGGCTGCAGGGAGCTGCCGGACAGCCAGGGCGTGTTTCAGCTCCACAGTCACACAGCTCCTCTACAGTACTGCATTCTCTGTCTCTATTTAAGAGGCACTCCCTCCCGTCTCCACTGCTGACCTCATAGGAGGCAGACAAGGCAGCAGACCAAGTCACTACATGCGTAGGCCAGCCCTACCTTTTGGCACTGCATTAAATGAAGCATCAATGGGGGCTATTTAAATCCTATGAAGGAACCAAAAGCTTCAAGAGGTGCTAATGTCCTAAAGTGGCTCTAAATGTTTAAAGATGATGTCCTTTTACCTGACTCTGTCTCCCTGTCCCTCTCTTCCCAGGTGAGAAGCTGAGGGTGCTCGGCTACAATCAGAATGGGGAGTGGAGCGAGGTACGTTCGAAGAACGGCCAGGGCTGGGTACCAAGCAACTACATCACGCCCGTCAATAGCCTGGAGAAGCACAGCTGGTACCACGGGCCTGTTTCGCGCAGCGCCGCAGAGTACCTACTCAGCAGCCTCATCAACGGCAGCTTCCTGGTCCGGGAGAGCGAGAGCAGCCCAGGACAGCTGTCCATCTCCCTGCGCTACGAGGGACGCGTCTACCACTACCGCATCAACACCGCCTCAGATGGCAAGGTAGCTAGAGGTCTGGGACCTACAGATGGACTGTCTCTTCCTTTTCTTACTACTCTGCCCCTGCTAATGTTCCTGCTCTGTCTCTGTTGGCCGTCTCTGGTTCCTCCCCACGGTGCTGACCCGTGTGTTCGTCTGTCTTTCTGTCCCCAGGTGTACGTCACAGCAGAGAGCCGCTTCAGCACCCTGGCCGAACTGGTCCACCACCACTCCACAGTGGCCGACGGCCTGGTCACCACGCTCCACTACCCGGCGCCCAAGTGCAACAAGCCCACCGTCTACGGCGTGTCGCCCATCCACGACAAGTGGGAGATGGAGCGCACCGACATCACCATGAAGCACAAGCTGGGCGGGGGGCAGTACGGAGAGGTGTACGTGGGAGTCTGGAAGAAATACAACCTCACCGTCGCAGTCAAAACACTCAAGGTTGGTCTCTTCTATAAAGATTGGTGGTCGCCTGTAAAATCTCCATCTTTTGTCTCTATTTTGTGAAATCCTCTGGGATCATGTAATATGAATGAGGTGTGGTGTTTAGTGGTTTATGGTCACCACCTGCTGGTAGAATGTTGTATTACATCAACATGAAACTGAATGGGGCAACAACTACATTTTAGTCATTTAGCAGACGCTCTTATCCAGAGCGACTTACAGGAGCAATTAGGGTTAAGTGCCTTGCTCAAGGGCACGTCGACAGATTTTTCACCTAGTCGGTTCGGGGATTAGAACCAGCGACCTTTCGGTTACTGGCACAATGCTCTTAACCACTAAGCTACCTGCCGCTGTTGGAGATATGTTTAATCGCAGTTTAACTTGTTTTGTTCACCTTGGTATCCTGATACTAAGATATTGAATAAATCCAGTGAATATTGACCTTTCTGCTTGTTTGGCTTCCAGGAGGACACTATGGAGGTGGAGGAGTTCCTGAAAGAGGCAGCAGTCATGAAGGAGGTGAAACATCCCAACCTGGTGCAGCTGCTAGGTCAGTGCTGCACACAGTACAGCTCCACTTACTAACAGCACATGGCATTTCTACCGGCTGTTGGGTTTCTAGACTCTGAGGCGTAGTTCCGTCTGACCTCTGTTGGCTTGCCTCTGTCCAGGTGTGTGTACGTTGGAGCCTCCCTTCTACATCGTGACAGAGTACATGCCCCACGGCAACCTGCTGGACTACCTGAGGGAGTGTGACCGGGAGGAGGTGAACGCTGTGGTGCTGCTCTACATGGCCACGCAGATCTCCTCCGCCATGGAGTACCTGGAGAAGAAGAACTTCATCCACCGGGACCTGGCGGCCAGGAACTGTCTGGTGGGGGAGAACAGCGTGGTGAAGGTGGCAGACTTTGGGCTGAGCAGGCTGATGACGGGAGACACGTACACGGCCCACGCCGGAGCCAAGTTCCCCATCAAGTGGACCGCACCCGAGAGCCTGGCCTACAACACCTTCTCTATCAAATCTGATGTGTGGGGTGAGTCAGAACCAGCTTTTCAGTCTTAATCACATGTTCTAAATCAGTAAACATTAGTGTGAGCGTGTTTCTCATCCTATGATGGTCTCTTGTCCTTCAGCTTTCGGTGTGCTGCTGTGGGAGATAGCGACGTACGGTATGTCTCCTTACCCAGGTATCGACCTGTCTCAGGTATACGACCTGCTGGAGAAGGGCTACCGCATGGAGCAGCCAGAGGGGTGTCCACCCAAGGTCCACGAGCTGATGAGAGCCTGTGAGTATGGGCACCACACTCAGTACACACACAGTCCCTCCCACACACACAGTCCCTTGCACTATCATCCATTCACATATGTCCTGCATATTAGCTCTATAACCTAAATTGTCCATGGAGTAAGAAATAACATGACCTTTGTTTTGGTGTGATATCAGGCTGGCAATGGAGCCCGTTGGACCGACCCTCGTTTGCCGAGACCCACCAGGCCTTTGAGACAATGTTCCACGATTCTAGCATCTCCGAAGGTACTTGTACTACATACAGTCACATTACTACCCTTAGGGCTTAACCGCGGTCGGATACACTTCCCTCTCTTGGAGGCATTTAGTTCTGCTGCCTGACTCCATTCAAGCCTGTCAGTTTACACTAAAGCGGATGTATTTGTGGACATTAGAGAGACAATGGCCATTAATGCTGCGTAAACATCTCTGTAGGGCCTTTTCAGAGTGGTACAGCATGCCTGGTGCCTCAGGGAGAGACGGGAGGATGATATGAGTGAGGATGAGGAAAGGGCAGGCTGAACTGAGGGGAGTACAGGGAGAACGCAGGGCTTTCAGAGAAGCACTATAAACTCAGCATTGATTTCTGCAGTTATTCCAGTGAATGCAGTCCTACTATTTCTAGCAAGGGATTCGATGTGTCAAACGGTCTAATGTAAATGTCCACTTAATTAATCATTCCTTTCCTTTCCCGTTGCCCCCCCCCCCCCCCTCTCTCTCTCTCTCTCTCTAGAGGTAGCAGAGGAGCTGTGTAAGACTGCATCCTCTGGCCACGGCCCATCACCACACCCCTTCAGCCACGACATGCCCCTGCTGCCCTCCAAGTCGCGCACGCTCAAGAAGCATACGGAGAACAAGGAGAACATCGAGGGGGGTCTGGATGGCAGGCAGGAGACACACACAGGCAGCACGCACAGCCCCTCAGGTACCTGCCTTGCCCGCCGCCATGCCTGTAGGCTGAGGAGAAGAGCTGCTGTGTACCTGGAAAAGTGAACGTCACTGGATCACCTCACCCAAACGTCACCACTATCTAGCTCAGTGTCATTACGCCTCCTTTAGCATCAATTATATGAGCTTTCCTCATAATTTATCAAGAGTTACTTTAAAGTCACGTATCCTAATAGATAATATGCAGTGGGGACTGTTGCCATGTCCAACCACATCACTTAAAGCATTGAACATTAAGCAGATACATAATTGGCCAAATACCAGAGAAAGGGTTTGGATTAAAGGCATTCTCAATCCTCTCCCATTATAGAATTCACCGTCTTCCTCCCGTACATGATTAGACAAGGCTGGGTAAATGTGCCTGTTTGTATGCGTCTGTATTCATGTTTGTCATCTTTCATTTTTATTAACCTGACAATTGAGGATGTTGAATTCTAATACTCTCATCTCTGTCTGTTGCATCCTCCCCACACACAACACACAACTCTAAAGATCATATGTACCAATACCTCAATTAAAAGCGGAGAGTATTTTGTATGGTTTTTGCCATGTTGTCGTTCATGTTTTATGTGCAATCAAGTGACAGTGTTTTATTGCATGTTGTTTTCTTGTGGAAAAACCAAAGGCGATCTATGTTCCTGTCAGTCCTTATACTATCACTCATTTCACACCATATAATCCTTTCCATGATACTTCTCCACTAGCAGTATGATTGATCACACTATAGCAAACACAGCGTAACAAGATACGTCGGGGATGATGAAGCCAGAGTGGTGGTGACTTAAGGGAGGTGGCTTCCTGCCATCCTGACTCAGGCTGGTGCCTGGCTCACTCTGGCGCTCATCTATTACACGTATAGAGCCGCTTCACATCCCTAGTACAAGGTGGCACCACAAAGTTCTTGAAACAGGAATGGCTCTGGAGAGGGAGGATATGCCTGTAGTCAAAGCAAAAATGCAAATTGGCAGCCAGCCTGTGAGATTCACTGGTTTTGGGCTATTCCAGATGTTGAATAAATGGTGTAATGAGTGTTGATAAGAGACTGCAGCCCTGGTACCTGTTTAACTCCATGCCATCTGTTCTCTGCAGGTCTGGCAGCCACTCTGCTGGCAGGGGATGGCCGGTCAGGCAGCTCTCCTGCTCTGCCTCGGAAACAGAGGGAGAAATCCCCCAGCAGCCTCTTGGAGGACTCCCAGGAGACCACGTTCACTCGGGACCGCAAGGCTGGCTTCTTCAGTTCCTTCATGAAGAAGAAGTCTTCCTCCAACTCTCCCTCCTCCCAGCTGCAGCAGAGCCTGCCTACGCCGCCCAAGAGGAGCAGCTCGTTCAGGGAGATGGAGACGCAGCCGCACAAGAAGTATGAGCCCACGACTGGCTTGAGCGCCCCTCCTCCCCCCCTGCCTCAGGCAGACGGCCTGGGCTTTTCACCATCCCACGGAGAGGGGAATCACATCCAGTCACGCTGCTGTGGAGCCACTTTTGGACAAAAGGCCTCTGCCAACCACACCTCTGGGGCCCCGCCCTCACAGGTGGGCAGTAGCAGCAGCTGGGCAGGCCTGGCAGGCTTCTTCACCCCCCGCCTCATCAAAAAGACTTTAGGGCTACGGACCGGCAAGTCCACTGGGACCGAAGAGGGGGGTGGGGGGACCAAGCCCTTCCCCAGGTCCAACTCCACCTCCTCCATGTCTGCAGGGCTGCCTGACCTGGAGAGGATGGCTCTGACTTTACCCAGGAACCGCAGTAAGCCTCCTCTAGAGCGCACTGCCTCCACCACCTCACAGCCTGAGAACGGGGCAGCACACACCTCTGAGACCCTGCTCCGTAAGATGGATGAGGGCACAGCTCAGATCAGGGACCGGCCAAAAGCCAAGCTGCTTCCCAGAGGGGTGGGAGGGAACTCTGGGGTGGTGAGGGCACCTGGGGTTGGGAGTGAGGCCGATTCATATTGTCACTCCGGGACCCTACGGGGTAGGGAGGGTCAGGAGGCAGGAGGACAGGACCGTCAGGGATGGTCGTCCCCCTCCAAAACAGTGGGATCAGGCCTATCAGCGGCTCCACACAACCACAAGGTTCCAGTGTTGATCTCGCCCACACTCAAGCATTGCCCGGCCGATGTGCACCTGGTGGGGATGGACTCTCAGGGGAACCGCTTCAAACTACTATCAGAGCACCAGGCGGACAAGGACCGGCCACGGCTGATCAAGCCTAAATGTGCCCCACCTCCCCCTCCCACTCTGCGCCTCCTTGGACACTCCTACAGTGGGGATGGAGAGGAGCAGGTCGGGGGGGCTGTGGAGGTCAATGGTGATGGGGTGAAAAGGCCGGGACGAGTAAGGGAAGTGGGAACAGGGAGACCATCAGTGCCGCCACCACAAGTGCCTCCACCTTCTTCAGCCTCCTCTTCCTCTGCCAACAACACTACCCCCACTAAGATGGCCAACGGTGCCACCAGCACTGGCTCTTCCACTGCCCCCTCTGGTGGATCTAAGCTTCTGCGTCGGACTCGGCAGCAGGCAGAGAGGGTACAACCAGAGAAGATCAGTAAGGAGGCTCTGCTGGAGTGTGCCGAGTGCCTGAGAGGTGCCCTCCACAGCAGCCCCGAGCCCTCCTCCAGCAGCCAGGTCCTAGACGCTGCCCACCAGCTGCTAGACTACTGCTCAGGCTACGTGGACTGCATCCCACAGATGCGGAACAAGTTTGCCTTCCGGGAGGCCGTGGGCAAGTTAGAGCTCAGTTTGCAGGAGCTGCGGGCATCGTCCTCCTCTGGAAGCGGAGGAGCATTCAGTGGCCCAGGGCCTAGCCCTGCTCTGGACAACTTGCACACCTGCATCAAGGAAATTTGTGATGTGGTTCAGAGGTAGCCACCAGACCCTTTCAAACATTTCCTTTGTATTCCCTTTTTTGGTTCTATTAACATTTTGGGGACAGAGAACAATCTCCGAAGTACCTCAGAAAATCACTACAAATTGTATCTCTTATTGTTTACAGTTGACTCTTTCTCAAAAATGCCAGTGGAGAACGCTGTTCTAATCTTTGTACATAAACATTGTTGATACCAAACTAGATGTGGTTCATTTAAATTGTTTTGCCCCAAATTTAAACTTTTCCACCAGGTTTTAAGGCATTTATTTTAACTGAATGTGGAGTATATCAGCAACGTTTTCAGTCCCAGAGAGTTGGTAAAGAACAAAGTCAATTTGCATATGTGTCATTGAGTAACTTAGTCATAATTATTCTCCACTTTGTTTCTTGGCTATCTCTGGTTCATTCTCCTGGCAACAATGAAAAGAGTCCCTGTGACAGGATGTCACTGTTCAAAACTATTGTCACCTGGGACATAGATGAGTGTTCCACTTAATCAGGTCTACTTTCTCTGCCATTTGGTTTGATTATTTCAGTAATATTTCCATTCAATGTCATGACATCTGAATGGAAAATGTAAGCGTTTCAATATTTATTTCCAAATTCCCTTGCACATGAACTAGCTATATGTTTGGAGCTTATTAGAAGAGCGAAGAGAGCGCAAGGTAGCACATGAGCAGGTGGTTTGGGACAGTGTTTCTAAGTGTCCTTGGACAGTGCTGAATTCCCTGTGGTCCTGTCCCTCAGTGCCTATAGATTCTTAAATGATTGAAAATCTGCAAATACAGCTACTCCTTGACAAAATACTGATCTCATCACAAACTACAGTATGTCTCTAGCACATCAGTGATTTATTTGTACATTATTTGGTTTTAACTTTGGAATGGCTTTATGTATGAACTTGAATTTTAAATTATTGTTTTTTTATTATTAAAAGCACAGACATATTTTAAAAATGTTATGTAAATATTTGCTTAATTTCATATCCAGGAAAAATGTAAGGTCACATTTGCTTGGATAAGTGTTTGACTATAAAAAATAAATGGTAGTAGGACGTCTATCGCAGGACTGAGGCCCACCCACCCCCTCCCTCCACAACCCCATCTGAACATCTGCTAAATGAATGTATTGCTTTTGTATTATGAACATTTTGGAATGTCCCTTACTTTAAAGTTTTATCTTTCTTTTTTGAGAAGATATGTTTAATTGTTCTCTGGTCATTTCAATACCAACATCATTCAATGCTGATGGTTAATTTACAAAACTGAATCTCAAAGCACGTTTTCTGTTTTGATATCCCTTTTAGATGTTTTTGATCATCTCTACACAAACATTTCCATATCAGATTGCTGGATGTAATTGAATCCTGTTTGTTCTCTTAATCCTGAAATCGTTTCTCAATAATAATTTGGCTAATGAATCAAGCAATCAAAACAATAAAAGCTTGCTTATAACGGAGTGCCCCTCAACTGTTTGAAAATTCCCCTAATGCCCACTTGAGATGTTGGAACCCTAAGTGTGTATCAAAAGGGGATCATCGCGCTCTCCCAGAAGCTTGGCTGGTGTGCAAAACCCACAAATTCAGACAAACAAAAGGTGTAATGGGTCCGCACTCAAAAAGATGTCGCATAAAGCCTACTTCGTTTTTCGATCCCTTCACTCTTTTCACTGCATCAGGCACAGCGCACACAGATGCCTCGGCCCTGCAGCCCTCCTCAGTGTGCAAAACCCATTACACCTTTTGATTGTCGGAACCCTAGGTGTACACTGGATAAAGCCTATGACGTAGTAGACGTTGATTGGGATATTGCATTTCGTCTTAGTATAAACTCTAGTAGTGCCGAATATATTTTCACATTTCATTCCATTGTGGTACACCACCTATCTAATCCAGCAGATGAGCTTCAGTGTGCCTCTGGTCATTCAAAGGTATTCTTGACTAATAGCATGAAAAAAAAAATTCACTGGGAGGTTCAAATAAAAATAATGAGGTATTTTATTTTTTTGCCTACTGGATACAGCAATGTTTTTCCAATGGTTCTTGGTGCCTTTTGTGAAAGAGATTTTATGTATAGTGCACTACTAAGTCAAGAAACGGATATACAGCGATGTGTAATTGTAAATATCTTGTGCTTTTGTTTTCAGATGACAGATTTTGCCATGAAATTGTGGCCAAGTATGAATATCACTACAACATGCATTTCTATTTCTGGGAGTAAACATTTGTGTTTTTTAATTTAAAACTCACATTTAATAGTATATTACTGTGAAGTTCTCCCTATCAGTGTTCAACTTTATATAAATAAAATGTTGAACAATTCTAAGGTTCTTTTATCTTTTTGATTTGTAAAAATTCAAAAGACGTATCCAGAGAGCGAAGCTAGCAAGTTATTAATCGTATGAATACATCTCATTGACCTGTGGAATCAGAGACTGATAATGACCAATGCATTTACTACTCTTCAGGTCAGTATTTAAAGTACTTTACTGTAAATAGAATACTACTGATGGGAGGAAAATAATGATAGCCCATGTGATTCAAACTCTTTTCAATTTAGGGCACATCCTGAGCACTGGATTACATCACGTCTGTGCCTGGAACCGCCATCAAAAATGTCCTTTTGAAGAATAAATTGTTCCGAAAAAAATCTGCGCGGCCCTCAGCCTCAATAAAATAATTGCCCACCCCTGGTCTATGATATAGGCCTATAAGAAGCTACCTGGGTGGTGGTCACCAGGGATGTAGTGCTGCCGTAGTGGGGGGGAGCGGCGCTCCTTCACTTTTTTCAATTAGAGAATACATGGGTTAAAACGGAAACTACATGTGATGATGACATGGTGACCTGCAGTGTGACCTGCAGTCAGATGGTTTATGACAGTAACACCAAAGTGAGCAAGGTATATTATTAGTTGTACTCAATTCCTCTAATATGTAGATCTGTGGTTAGCGTTCAAATGTGTTTTAAGTCAGCACTTGAAGCTTTCCCAAAACATGACCTTTTTAGAGTAAAAAACACAATGCAGAACAACAAACTGCTTAACAAGCTCTTCTCATACTCAAGCTATTCTCCCTGATCTTTCTTACAGAAGGATTCCAAGCTTGTTTCATGTGCTACCAGTCAAGAGCGTCCACGAGTCAGGGACAGTGTTGAGGTTATTTATTGCAAACAGTCTTAATAGGAATAAAACATTATTAACCCAACCTCAGACTGAAACAGTAAAAAATTTAGGGTACATCTGTGGTGGCCTTTAGTTTGGAGGTACACATGGTTTTATTAAATGTCATATTACAAAATATTACTAATGTAGTACTCCTGAGTGGCGCAGTGGTCTAAGGCGCTGCATCGCAGTGCTAACTGTGCCACTAGAGATCCTGGTTCGAATCCAGGCTCTGTCGTAGCCGGCCGCGACCGGGAGACTCATGGGCGGCGGACAATTGGCCCAGCGTCATCCAGGGTAGGGGAGGGAATGGCCGGCAGGGATGTAGCTCAGTTGATAGAGCATGGCGTTTGCAACGCCAGGGTTGTGGGTTCGATTCCCACGGGGGGCCAGTATAAAAAAATATATATGTATTCACTAACTGTAAGTCGCTCTGGATAAGAGCGTCTGCTAAATGACTAAAATGTAAATGTAAATGTACATGGAGCTGGTAAAAATTATATTGAATTACTGAATTTCCATGAAAACGATAAAATGACAAACTAAAATATAGCTGCAAGTAGCAATTCCGGGGTTCAGCTGTGGGACCACTTTGCCACCATCAGGAAAAATGTGACACCGCCCTAGGATGAGCTACTAATGTACTGTTTACCACGCTTGCCAAATATCAGAACTCAAAAATATGTTTTAAACGCCAAAAATCCGGTGTTTCTATGTCAAACGGTTTTGTTATATTTCAGTCTTCTGTGATGTATATAAAGTGTAATATTGGGATGCAAACTCAATATCTGACATGGTACAGGTGTCTTCTTTTTTTGTTGTTGCCCATAACCATGTGTTTGAGGTGCATACTTTTGTTTCAAAGTAGTTTAAGACTACCAAGAAACGCTTTGTTTGACACTGATTTAGCCCACTGCAGTAAAAGGTTAAACGTCATCTTCACCAGAACCGCTGGACTGATCGACACCAAATTTGGTATATAGCATTCATGGACGCACGTCTTCAAACGCAATATTTTCCAGGACTAGCTCAAATAATATAGCCGCTATGACCTTGCATGAATGTTTTTTTCTGTCCAACAACGCCACCATGCGGCCAAACTGAATCATACTTTATAGGTTAGCTAGACTCATCCCTGAGCATGTGCCAAATTTCATCATTGAGTCAAACAGATCAAGAGATAAACGTGTGGTCGATCTAAATGTGCTTGCGTATGTTGAGTGTTTGGCCAGAGAGGAGGAGGCTAAGCGAGAGGGATAACTGGGCCCAAAAGTCTTCTCCATCAGGTGGTGTTTTTTTGTTTTTTTGCTCACTAAGCGAGGAGTTTTTGTATGAAGGTCAATGAGTGTCAAATTTGATTAACAAAAAATGGTATGGCTTATTTGCTCGAACAGAAATGTCAATGATTAGGTTGTTACAACTGTACTGATATAAGTAGGACACGTGACATCCCGGCAACTTTAAGAAAAAACACTTAATCGGAATTGTGCCTGGCCATCACTAGTTATCACATCCACAAACTCATAAACCCCACCTATTTCTACAATTTCTCTTCAAAAAATATGATTTTAAACCTAACCTTAGACACACTGATAACCTTATGGCTAACCCTAACCTTAAGATGAAAAAGCATCTTTTTGTTTTCACAAATAGCCAATTTTGACTGCGGTAATTAGTAGAAACCATTGTGCCTGTTGTTCACGCGCGTATCTGCCCTCTCATTGGCTAGAATGGTCCCACCTGATCTTGCCTCCTCCCAACTGCCTTCCATTTAGATTTTAATTTTAATTGTTAGAGCAGCCACTAGAGTATCTGGTCAATATAATGGATAATCTGTGGTTTGGAATGAGTACCACGTTTTGTTACAATACGAATATCCAAGACTGATTTATATGAATTTATGTGACAGACCACGCCCATGTGAATGCTTAGTGGTCCATGTTGTTTTAGGTACTGGAAAATATTGCTTTGGGAGAACTTTGTACATAGATGCACATATCAAGTTCTATATCGTGGAGCTCCGCCCCATATA